CGAACTTCCCGACCTCAAACGTTGTGGGCGGGACTAAGTTCGGAATGGCACCCAGGCTAGGAGAGCAAAGCTGTAAAACAGAAATGTACGCAATTAAAGTGACATTTTTTTATTTCATTCTTGGCCTCCTCCTTGTGGGACTTGCCTGGAACACTTCCGCAGATGCCAGAGGGCATCGGAAAAAAATGCCAAAGCCACTTCAGTTGACTCTTCTCTATGTAGAGAAGAAGCACTACTCTGCTCTATTCTGATGAGCGAGGTCCTCGCCCTATGTCTAAAGGAGTAGCTATCCAACCTCACTTCAGCCCCTTAGATCTCGGAGTTGCTCTTTCAGTCATGATACAGATTTCATAACCATACTGTAGGTGAGGGTAGAAACATAGATTGAATGATAAATCGAGAGTTTTGCCTTTTCACCCAGCTCTCTCCTTACCTCAACGATCTGGCGCAGTGTCAGCATTAAAGCGGCACCTACTGCAATCCATCAGTCTAACCCACCATTCTCCCCCAAGATACTTTAACTACGTCACAAATTCAGTTTCTACAAAGTGTGTCTTTATTTGTAAGTACTTCAAACTTTCAAATACTCAATGTATTGATTTATGTGATTAGACATTTGAATTTGAACAAAAAATGGTGTAGCTCACCAGACTTTCCATCCATTACTTTTGGTTTACCAGGATATTTTTGTTGATAAATGATCACATGCTTTACATTTCTGATGTTTCAGAGTCTGGTGCAGAAAAGAAGCATGTGCCATTTGGCCGTCCTCAAGTGCTGCAGCCTGAACACAATTACTGCATCCTTCACCAAGAAGGATTCATCAGCGGATACAGCCAAAATGTTATCATGCCTCTCTGGAGCTCCTTTACCATTGACAAACCGGTAAGGATTTAAATGTGTTTGGAAAGTAGGATAAAACACACATTTATAAATGTTTCACAGTTAAAAATCCAAACATTCTAAATCTAAAGCAATAATCATAATCATTTCTAACTTGCTTTGAAAAGTCATGCAATATTAAGCAGCTTTAGTACTGTTTAAAGAATTTTGTATTGACTTAAGACAGATGTAGTTACATGACTAAAGCTGTGAAAGTATTTAGTCATTCTAACCCTCAAGGCTTTGGGATGTGTTTTTACCACACTGGGCTTATGGTCTTTTTCAGTCACCTTTTAATCTTTTTTTCTCTTTCTTGGCAACAATTTCCACAGGATGTTTAATGCAATGAATCAAATGTTAGTTTAAACCTACTTTTGGATAATTTGTAATGACTAATTTGATGACTAATGTTTAATTGTGATAATTCTCTCCATTGCATTAGACCAACTTGGACCCGTTGCCAGCAGTAACACCCAACTGTTTGAGGGCTGATGTGAGATTACCAAAACTACTGAGTCCCAGATGTGATCAATATGAAGCTGCGGAAAAGTTGACCTATGCCTTCTTATATCCGCCAAGTTTGTGATTAAATTAATCTTACTAAATATTAACGGGTCTATGTATGGAATGAGGAAACTATGGCAAACAATAACAAAGACCTTTCAAAGATACTGTATTTCACTGTGGTTGCAGTTTTTACAGACACTAGTAGCCACTTAATGAACAATTTACTAAGCAATGCAGGAATTTCACTTAATAATCATCCGTTGGTTGATGTTTTTTTTTTTTTCGTTTTTTTACTTTAATCAACTTCAATACACAATTTATGGCGTGTAAATAATGAAATTATCTCAATTTTAGTTTTAAAAAAAACTCTCCTGCACATTATAAGTACTGTAGACATTTTAAACCTGCAATCCTAAGTTTCCCTCTCTACTCTTGCAAATCACATGTTATTGTATTACATGAATGTTTGAAATGAACTGATTCAAAGGAGCACAGTTATATTTAACTTTTGAATATTAGCAAAGTGAATGCTTGTTTTAATGTTTTTACAGATTTAAATCAAACAGCAGATCAGCAGTATGATGGCTTGACAATGAGTAATGTTATCCCAATGTACCCTGCATTTAAAAGTAAGTTCAGATTTGATTCCTCTAAAGCCTGATGCAAAAGGACATTAATTTTTTAAAAAGCATTTGTTTTACTGTAGTAAAAATAAAATACTGGGATTATCGGGTGTAAAAAACCAGAAGCAAGATAAACTATTTCTCATCATTCTCTGCTTTTAATGTGACACATATTCTATACAACTGAAAAGGGGCATATCAAATCAAAAATGGTGGGATATTTCTGCACAACCTTTTTAATATTGCTATATTGAAGCACCTTTTAAGTCTTCTCGCGGAGTCTTCTCTTGCAGAATTCTATATGAATGAAATGTTGAGATATGCCAGTCAATTTTGAAAATTTCTATTGGATTCTTGGGATATTGCTTGTCCAAAGCATTATTTTTCAGGTGGCCACTAGACAGTTACAAACATTTTAATCCTTATCCCATTTTTTAATATTTCTTCTGTATATTATGACAAATGCATGTTCTCGATAATAAGAACAGAGCTTCAGCTTTTTAGCTTAAATTCAGGGATATTGGGTAAAAGTATGTGTAGACCTGTCTTTAATGACATTCTTCTCCATAAAACACCCAGTTTAATGTGAAAAAAAGTAATGCCAGATAAAGAAATAACCATACCATGTTTCACTTTAGGTTATGTTATTTTGGTGAGTTACTGTGTAGCTTTTTTCCTTATGTTTTTAGAAGGACTGGGTCATTAATCTTAAAGAAGCTGTTTTTGGTTTTCAATCTAAACATTTGCAGAGATAGAGAGAAAATCCAGGAGACTGTTTTGACAAGTAGAGCATCACCATGGCTAACCAAAAAGTTGTTTAAGCTCCTTCTGTTACTGTTTTGCCTTCCTGATAATGTTTTCTCTATGTTATGTTCCAATTATTGATGACTACAGCACTTGTTATGTCTGCACTTATGATACGTTTGTACAGTCATATCATTTTGATAATGTTTACCCTCCCTTTAAACAATGGCTTCATGAAATTACAGAACCTCCCTTCAAAAAGCTTAACTGAATTACTTCCATATGAACATGTGCACAAGTATTTCAGTCTAGAAAAACTCACACAAAGAGAAAAGACAAGTAGGAGAAATTTATTGATACAATTACTTTCTCTTTGGCGCTCAGACCTTGGCAGGAAACATAGCACTTAATTTTGATAGACATGAATGAACAGGAGCAAAGAATAGGGCTGTTTTCCCCCAGGCATGAAACTGGTGGTGGAGTGGAGATAGATGAAGTTGGTCAGTCTGTAGACTGCTGGTTAGCAAGATGGTCTGCTGAGCTTTATGGGGAGATCCAGTGGATTGAGTGAGCTGATTCTAGAGCTTCACTCAGTGACCTGGAAGATAGAAGTCCAGTTGGATAACACAGGTTGAGAGAACCTGTCCATAATGAGCAAGCATGAAGCAAGAGTGGAGAGGAAAAACTCCCCGTTGGGAAGAAACCTTTGGCAGAACCAGCCTCAACATGGCGGTCTTCTGCCAGACCGGTTAATATGAGACAGGGAACGCAGTAAGAGTCCGAGAGGAATGACTGATGAAGCTTTAGCTATGATGGTGGAGGAGGGGCTGGAGGTGGGTTGAAACTGTGTCATCTGAATGAAGTCACACAGTGCATCTGCCGCCTGCGCCCAGGAGCAGACTGGTGCGTATAGGAGGCCTTTTAAGATAAGCTTTGGATGCCGATTGGCTTTCGTAGAGGTGTGGTTCAAAGCTGATTGGCTATGTCGCAGGTGGATGTATGAAAAAACACTGACTTCTTCAGTTAAATTTCCGCCTAAGCTCCATTTCAACATGTGATTCATCAATGTAACAATATTCCAGGTTTGCTGTTCATTATACCTTTAACCTTAACATAATTATTTTCCAAGCTGGCTTTAAAGAGGTATTACATTAAAATGAAGGGAAAAGCTCTGAAATTATTAGTCTGTCTCATCTCCTAACATTTGAAAAAACTGAGCAATTAACCAGGTGCAAAGTTTTGACTCTACTTGTATTTATTATATCTCTCTTTTCTTTCTTAGGGATCTGGGATTACCTCCACAACACTTTGCTAAAGAAATATGCATCTATATACAATGGCATTAATGTGGTGACTGGACCAGTCTTTGATTACAACTATGATGGCAGATATGACACTTCAGAGCAGATAGACCAGTAAGTTTCAAGTCTGTAATAATGTTCTGCTACTGAGGTGTGGACTTTGACCTGCTGACTTGACTTGGGTCAGACCCCAGACTTGAGACTTTACTTGTTTATATTTGAGAAGACTTGTGACTCTTGTGGGTACTAGTTACTTCTATCTTCTATCTTTACAGTAAACATTTTACGATGCAAATTAAAAACTGCAAATAAAAAAAAGGCAAAAACACTGGTCCACATTTGTATACTCACATAATTAACTTTCAGAAATGGCTCAGTATGAGCTATAAATTAATAACATTAATTTAGAGTGAAGCTGGTTATCACAGATACTCCACAGTCTGATCTAGAAAAAAATCCTACACTAGATATAGAAAGCTATTAAGAGACATACCCAAAAATACTTTTTGTCAAAGTTTTGCTATAAGCATTGAATATGTGGGCTAAAATAGGAACAAATATCCTTCTTTCCAGATTTTTGTTTGTTGAAAATATTCTAAATTACAGTAGTTTTGCTTTTCATTCCACTTGATAATAATGTTATGCTTTTTATTTCTCTTCACCAGCAGAAAAGATTTAAATAAAAGTGAAACTAGAGATGTGAATAATTTGTAAGATACTGTTTCTGATTTGTTTGGAATTTAGTGTTCACTAAAAATCGGATTAAGAAGAGTTCAAGCTTTGTTTGACGGACACAAAGACCTCTACAGACTTAGATCATTTTAGTAAAGATTGACTGGAATCTTATTTCCCTTGTGCTTTGTGTAAAACGAAACACATGGTTTGTGTCAACTGGATGACAGCAGATGTTTGTGTGTAATTGTAGAGTCGTGCCTGGAACCAACATATCCATCCCCACGCATTACTTTATGGTGTTGACAAGCTGCAAGGACATGCAAAAGCCAGTGAGCGCTTGTGACGGTGAACTGCAAACAGTTTCCTTCCTCCTTCCTCACAGAGCTGACCACACAGAGAGTTGTAAGGTAAGATGTGAAAAAACAACAGTGCACCCACATGTGTCCCAGATTTTTATCCAAAAGTCGCCACTGAACAAAACAAGGAAACTAAAACTTTTCCGTAGACCCCTTTCATGTAGGACTAACCCCTGGCGGAATAAAGCCAACAACAAAGAAAGGTGCACACAAGTTGTAACACGTAAGGATACTTAGAGTGAACCTGCCTCCAATTCAAGATCAGTGGCTTTTCACGTGGGCTTTTTAGTTTTTCTGCGTACTGAATCTGGGGAGGAGTAACACTGATAAACTTAAAAACAAGATGGAACATTTTAAATAAAAAAGATTGCATTGTTTAAGAAACGACATCACATTTATCTCAGATCTCACAATTTGGTATGAACAAAAAGCACAGCAAGATATGTAGAGATCTGTGATCTTGATTACATAATCTCAATGTTGTTGTCGTTTCAGTTGTTAGCACTTACTTTAAAGGCAATTTTTTGGGGAAATGTAGTTACATAATTATTTTTCCAGGAGGGAAACATCTCCAAATGTATGAACATGCACAAATACACATTTTATTGCAGATTTTGTTCAATCCACCTTAAAAAATCCTATCTGTTTCTCTTCAACCGATCACATTAATAGGTTTCTATATATAATTGATCCAAGCTTTGGTTGGTTTGGTTAATGTTGCTATTAAATATTGTTAGTGATATCCTCGGTAATAGCTTTGTCCACACTTTGTCTTCTAGTGGGATATTAATCTTAGAAACATGATAAAAGAAATTTATAATGGAAACAATGCGGATATTAAGCTTTGGGTAAAGACTGACTCCTACTATAATGTGGAATTGTGGTCTGTGTGAGGAACCAAACTTGTTTAAATAAACTAAATCAGTTCTACCAAAAATGGGGGTACAAAAATATCCTTGATAACTGATAACTGACCCTGTTTTGGAAATAAAGAAATCACTAAGAAATTACCCAATTTGCCCTAATACTCACAGTAGTTGTAGTTGCTTTTTTTATTATTATTTTATGAGGTAAGGAATTTACCAAAATTAATAATTACAAGTATTTCACTATGAAAAATGTATGCAAAAAATAAACACAATTGTAAGAAATGAGTCTGTTAGGTTTGAGATACTGCAAAAACATGCTATATTTAATATTATTTTCCTTACATTACAGAGTGCAGAAGATGAATCCCTTTGGGTGGAAGATCACATCTGGTTTCACCAGTCAAGAGTCAGAGATGTTGAGTTGGTCACTGGACTGGACTTTTACTCTGGCAGTAGTCTACCAGTTCCAGAACTGCTGAAGATGAAGACCCGCCCAACAGCTGCCATTAAAAGAAAACAGTGACCAGTTAAATCAGAAGTAAACACAAGCATGTAGACCTTCTGTAGTCTCTAATGTGGGTTATGTCTTGTCTGCTGTACACTTAAAGCACTTATCCAAGTAATTCTATTTATTTACGTCTCAGTTTTATCATTTATTCAGTAATGCTTTATTTTCAGTATACTCTGTTTTTGTTATCTCTTTTTGTCTTTATGTCAAAGGAATTGATTAAAACAATGCCTTGAAAAGAAAACAATTAGCATTAACAGATTGATAAGGAATGAACATAAATCATTAGTATGGACTGACAAGCCCCAACCAGAACATTTCTTACTCAACATTCCTGTGAAACAGTCATTATGTTGCTGTCAACTTTGATCTTCAACTTTGTCTTATGCATGGCTTTTTTTCATCCTCCACCTGAAATGTGAATGATGTTTACTTTGTTCTCAAAATATCTTGTACAGGATTAATATGTTCCCATATTTTGATGTATTTGTGACAATATCTTACTTGAGAAATATGCAATCAATAAACAAACTCCAAGCTAGATCGAAATATTGGACATAATGTAATGACCTCAGAACCTTGGACCCAATACTCAGGCAGACAGATCAGGACGATTTTCTAACCAGCTTTATTTTAAAGTACAGCGAGCGACTGGTCATCAGCAGGGCAGATAACCGGATTCTCTGCAGGAATAGAAAGCTTAGGTCAGTGACTAAAATGTCGGGCTGATGGCGACTAGGAGCAAATGTCAGTGACCTGGTTGCTATAAGAGGTCATTCCGATCCCAGTGGAAGAGGTAAATACGGGACGGAGATTGTCCACCACTTGTGGCCATATCCGACACCAAGGAGAAAACAGTGTCCGTGATGGACTATCCAGAGCAGAAGTACAATCCGAACCAGGGTGACAGACCACATGATCAGAGAGATGAACAGGTACCCAAGGAGAATCCAAGCCAAGGTGAGTAACACAATCCAAGTTCAGTAAACCTGCAAAATCCAGGAAATCAGTCCAAAAACAAAACTGACAGAGCAGACAAGGGCAAGGCAAAAACTTGAATATCCAGAAGCAGAAAACAAGTCAGAATTAGAATCACAGAACACTTTCTTGGATGCTAATTGCATGAATGCAAATTGCCAAGGCTTTTTTAGAGCTTTTTAGGGCTTTTCTTTCCTGAAAGCCCTAAAAAGAAAAGGCGGCAATGTATTGGGACAAAGACATGGTTGAGCAAATGTGGCTTCTGCGGTCTGTCCATTTCACACAAAGAACTCCATCTCATTCGCACCCCCGCCATGCTTCTGTTTTTTGTCTGAGAGCAAGAAGAAGAGGAATCCTTGCTTGCGCATGCCCACTGAGCGATTTGCCCACGACGACCGACTGAATTTCAAACAAGTTTGATTCTCTCCCGACCTCACGACTCCTGATCTGAAGGTGGTCTTGAGAGGCTGATCGCCTCTAGTCCGATTGAAACATTTTTGCACAACTGGAAAATCGGCCTGAAAAGGGCAAAAAATCTTACAGTGTGTGTCCAGCTTTACTCACAAAAAAGCTTGAAAAATCTGCCACCCATGGTAGGCATACAAACGGCATAAATAGCAGAGGGAAACAGGTGGAAACAATAAGTGTTAATGAGCCTCAATGCCAATTAGACAGGTGAACAGGCGTAAATGAAAATGCCAACCATCACCACTTGACACATCATACTTTGGAGAAGCCGTGGAGAATGTTATGCTGATTGTATCGTCCTCCAGCCTCTCTGATTTGGCAGTGGATAAGTAACAGTTTTGGGAGACATTTCATTGTAGGGCTATGCAGAGTTCATTAAGCTAACCACTACTGTAGGTACCCTGATAGCCGTCACGTACCAGGATGAGGTCCTTAGATCCACTGTGAGACCATATGCTGGTGCACTGGGCCACAGATTTGTTCTGATGCAAGACAATATAAGTTGTCATGTGACTGAAGTGTCTGCTATTCCCACATGATGAAGACATCAATGTTATGGACTGGCCTGCCCATGACATGAATTCAGTCAGCACATCTTGGACATCATACCTCATTCCATTCCCCAACCCCATGTTGCACTACAGTAGGTATAGGAATTGAGTGGTGCTTTCATTAAGGTCTGGAAGGAGATCCCTGACGTCATCAGGAGCAGGCTCAAGCATTGGAAGGTGGTCCACCAGGCAAGTGGAGACCATACACTGGTAGTCATTGTTATTTGAGCTGTACAACACTGAAAACAAGATCTATCATTATTAAATATAAATAAATTACATCACTCCAAAAACCATGGTTACTGTAATGACATTCCAAAAACTTCTCAATGCTTGTTAATGGCTGTCATGGAAACATGGGAACATCAACGCTTACATAAACATAGGAATAAGGAGTGCTTTTCTTTTGATGTAATGCTGCCTTAAGGGGAAATGTCTCTGCTTTCATTCACCTGCTCATGTTGTTACTTGTAGGTACCCACAGGGGTTTCCATTTTTATATCTATTTCACACTGATTTAATCAATAAACACAATCGTGTCCTAATCAGGTGCAAACTTAAAGGGAATTATGTTTTTTTTTTTTTTTTTTTTACATTGGCCCCTTGATTTAATGTTATTACATCATGTTCTACTCACCCATAGGAGTTTTGTGTCATTTGGAGCTGTTCCAAAGATATTCGGTTAGGATATATCCAAGTAACATCTTCCTATGGGCAAGTGACTTGAAGGCACAAACTAAACTGTTCGTAATTTATCATTTATGATACGCCAGCATTCATAACATGTAGGAGAATCACCGTCCCCCAGACATCTGCTGTTAAATTTTTTATATTTATATTTTTTTTAAACAAAGCAGAGTGTGTAAACTTTTAACTCTGTCCTTGCTGCCTTGCTTTTACCTGCTTCTTATAGGTCAGAAAATGTGAAAAATATTCCATTTCACATCACTATATCTGGTTAATGTAGTAACAAAGTTTGTCTTGATTTTATATCTTTATTTTAAATTGCATCAGACATTAGAGGTTTTGCATAGAAAATATTTTCAAGACTTTGTTTTGTTTATTAGAAATGGTTTAAAGACACAGGCTAAGGGTGTTATTTGAAATGTAAATACTAAAGCTAAAACATTTTTGATAATGATTTTTGGCAAACTGTTCCAAAGAGCATTGAGGATTAATCTAAGTTCTTAGTAAATACTGCACAAGGGAGCCAACTGTGATGACATTTATTTATAAATGTTTTATTTAATCATTATTTTAAAAGTCATTGTTATCATTAACAAGATTGAGTCAGAGGAGTTTTCCTCAGCAGGTTGTGAAACTAGTCTGAACTGGTTGGAGAATCTCAATGATCACGTGCATGTAGAACAGGCAGTAAAAGTGAAGTGGTTTCTCCTTTTTGTTTGACATCACATCTTCCATCCCTTTCATCTGGACTTTTTGCTACTTCTCTCTGAAAAAAGAAACATATACCCAAAACTTAGGAAAGTTGCAGAATTTATAGACCCAATATCAAATTCTATTTAGGGTTTTCAAAAATCCCCTAATTGAACTGCCACCTTAATATGGAGAAGTGCCAGTATACAATTTTCTCTTTTTATGTCTGCTTTTGTAAAGTTTAACAATAAATAGGTTTAATTTGGATAAATAGATTAGGAAAATATGACTGACACCAAAATACACTCAATGATACTTCAACACACAGCTAAAAGTTGATATTTTTCCAGTTGAATGTTTTTGTTCTGTTTTTGCTACAAAAAAATGGCATAGTCCACAGTATTTTGTTCCATATCTGATGTGATGCATTCTGGAACAGGGACACTCCCTTTGGAAATGTATACAAACCCACTTCAGATATTTCAGAAAAAACACAGACCTTGTTTGTTACAGTTAATGTTTTGCCTGAAGAAAGTAACACATACAGATGAGTAATATTATATTTTTTACATGACAGACAGAATCCTGATGACAGAGCTCTATGGGAGGTACGCTCTATTGAAACTGAACCACCCACCAGAGCAATACCAAAAGAAACTCCACTCTAGTTTAAGGAAACTCCTTCTTCTGATATTTAAAACTGGTATCACAAAATCAAGCAAAACCATTTAGTGAACATGTGAGGCTGTTTATCAAACACATATTCTCTTCAACAAATTCTTACTTTAATAAAAGTTTTTTTTTTTTAAGTTTTAGATTATTTTAATCAAAATGCATCCCATTACGCATCCCCCGCATCCCTATAGAACAAACATTAATTCAGGGTCAACTTTCATAAATACTTAAATGTTTTTATTACTAAAAAAAATAAAATTAAATAATCAAACAGGAAAAATATCTACATTTTTAGAAAATATCTAAAATATGTATCTATATATATATAG